AAATTGACAGTATAAAAGGGAACACAAAAGAGACCCCCTACACGGAACAATGAGCAGTTTATAATAAGGCTCCATTCAAGGCAAAGCTAATAATAGCTACTATATAGAGTCCTTACCATACTTCCCTTCTAAGCACTTGTACATGTTTTAGCTCATTTAATCTCCACAACCACCATATGAGGTGGATACTAGTATTACCTCCATTTTACAGATGAGGAAACTGGCCAGAGATAGTAAATAAATTGCCCAAGGGCACACAGTAACTTGCAGAGTTGGGATATAAACCCAGGCGGTCTGATCTCTGAGATGTGTCTTTAACCAGCGGGTATGTGAGAAAAAAGTGGACAGCCAAATTAAATGAAGACTGAAGACTTTTCCTTGAAGACTATGGTGATTACACATATGAAAGGTAAAAAATGATGTGGATACACACGTTAAGGACATATTGTAAATTATCTGTGTGCATATATAACATATTTTTCTTAAGTATATTTGTCCATGAGGATATATTTATATAATGTATGTACATATACACAAATCTAACAGATACTTGATCAGGATAGGAAAAAATTATATTTGGCAGGAAAAAAATCCATAATTTATGCACGATTTTGATGGAGAAGAGATCAACTGACAAAGAAAATTTTTTTGCAAATTCTTAAGCCTTATCTATAATTCAGATGTTTATAAATAACATCTTTCTCTTGAATATAGGATTCTACTGTTGCAAGTATTACCAAAAAGCTTAACAGGGTATTAGTAAGGATTTGAAACAAAATCAACAGGATAAGAGATAGGGTGATGGAACAGAAAAAGCACTAGACTGAAAGGCAGATTCTAGTCCAGAATTTGCCACAGATCAGCTAGATGACCTCAGTCAGGCAACTTTCCCATAGAATGAATGGGTTGAATAAAATCATCTCAAAGGCCGCTTCCTACATAACAATTCAATTTTTCTTTTTGTAAGAAAGAAAATAGTGATGCTACAGCTGATAGACAAAAACAGAAGACTACCGGACCCTGAGTCAAGGTAAAAACTTTCTTAAGTCTCTTCCGGTAGAGGAATCTTACTAAATTTCAGTGGGTTATCTCTAGGTCTCATTTATTTTCTTTTATGTGAACAAATGTCTTGCAACATTTTTATACAGGTGTATTTTATCATTCACACTATCCAGTCCTGAGGTAAAACTGAACTCCTAATAAGTGGGTTATTACAGGGGTAAAGTGAGCCAAGGCTTCGATCGAAATAGTACTGGAAGTCCTTCGAAGGTGCTTTACTAAGGAACTAATGCTAATGTATGGTTCTGATACTTTTCATATTTAGTACGTTTAATATATATTAATTCTGTGTGAGGATAAAGTGGTAAAATTGCCATTAAACGAACACTAATGAATTATGTAAGGCCAAAACTAAGAATCATTTATTGGCTTAAGTTTCCAAATGGTCATTCCACTGCCTCACTGAAACATTTCTGCATCATGCTGTGCTGTAAACAGCACTTATGCATTTACTTTTATTTAAGTTCACTGCTGTAATTCAGGGCAATAAAACGAAGGTAAAAGCTAACGACAAGACAGGTGACAAAAGTATGACCATTGCTTTATTACATCTGCAATCAAAAGAACAGAAAAGACGAGGCCCTTCCTATAGAAGAGAGGTGGAAAAGTTATTTGTACATATAATAAAACGTTTTATGTAATGGGATATTTTAATATGGTCATCATATATTACCTAATTGGTTTTTGAGTTTATTTCTGAACAGTGCCTTTTATATAAACAGCACTGAAACCTTTTTAATCTTAAGAAAACTTTTTCCGTTAACACACTAAACCGTCTAAAGAGCTCATCATATATTTATTATTGTAACGCTTGGGAGGTTTCCTACCTCTGAGGAGGAATAAAAGGTAGACAGAAGATTAAAATGAGTCCTATTTCAGCATAAAGAAAAGTTGCAACTGCCGCCCATTGAAGTGTCATTTTTTTTCTTCACACCTAAATAGAGAAACATTTATTTCACCCTACCGCCTTTCCAAGAAAATTCAGTTTAAGGAAAGGCCCCCAGCGCGCGAGGTTTCCGGCCAGAAGGTTTATGGAATCAGACTTTCCCCTCAACTGGAGGCGCCCGGCAGAGACCCGGGGCGGGGAGTTGGGGGAGGGGAGGGAGCGGGTCGAGGGTGGGCCCGGAGGCCGGCGTCTGCACCTCCCCAGCGAGCCTTGCAGAACTGGCTAGGAGGCCTGAGCGGCACCGCGGAAGTGCTTTCCGTCCAGCTTCGCGGCGTCAGTAGCCTAACGCCAGCCTCTGCTAACGTCCGCGCCCGGGGGACCTCCCGCCCAGCGAACGTGCCGCGGGGCAGACCCCACCCCGCGGTCCCACCGCGGCGAGTGCGGTGCGACCCCGCGCTCCACGCCGCCTCGGGGCCCGAGGCCCCCAGACGTCCCGCCCGGCCTTACCCTACCTGAGGCCGCCTGGCTCCCCGCGCTGCTCCGCGGCCGCCGACGCGTGGGACGTCACACGCCGCGGCGGGCGGAGGGGAGCGCGCCCCGCCCCCACCCGCAGCCCCGCAAGCTCCATCTCCCAATTCCGGTCTCGGGGGCCGGTCCCAGGCGACGTGGCAGGCGTGCGAACAAGATGATTAGCAATAATTGTTTTCTAATTGGTGGTGGATTAGAGGGTCAGATCCGCTGCTTGGGTTCCCAAGTGCAACTTCTTCTGGGGAGCAGACTTAACATTTCTAATGAAGTGTGGCTTGCGTGGGAGGGGTGAGCTTAACCGACGTTCTGAAAGGGCTTGCTGGAGTCCGCGGCGAGGAGTGGCGCCGGGGCGGGAGGGTTAGATAGGGTGCTGCACACTCAGTGAACGTGGTTGAAACACTCCTTTCCTGGTTTGTATTTTACCGTAGGCACAGTTTCGTTGTCCAGAACAAGTTGGTTGTGCCGCATTTTGTTCGGAGAATGTAGGAGGATAGGTAGCGTCCAACATACACTTCGTGTGACGTTTTCTACTCTCGTCCATGCGCTGGGAAGAGGCAGTACACTTTCGGGTGATGTTTGGGGACTGACTGGAAAGAACAACGTGGGTATGGGTATATTCTTTCAATTACTTTTTTCCAGGTTTTCAAATTGCGTGAAAACACTCAAAATTTTAAAGATTTTCCCACCAATATTAACAATGTATCAGGAATGCACATAAAAGTATTCTCCTGGAGATGATTATTTTGGGAAGATTAAACAAATGGTGAAAACAAGAGGTGGTTACTGAATATAAAAACACATTTAAATCAGTGCTTTCTCTTACCACAAGTATACTTGATTACACAGAAAAAAAGACAACATAAATTAACCATAAGCAACTTAAAAAAAAAAATCAAAGGCGTTTAGAACTCCTTGCCTTTCTACACTGGTTCCTTGAACGGCTGTGCACCTTACTTTAATAATGCTGCTGTCCTCAGAACACTGGTGTAACAGAGTTAATTTACAAACGTAAAAATCACTAAGTTTTGGCTATAGCTCCCTATTTGCTAATATATACTCATATTTAATGAAAAAGCCAGTTATCTTTAAAGATCCGTTAATTGAAAAATGAAAGCACAGAATGTGCCTTAAAAAAAAATATGGCAACATAGTGCTTATGTTAAAAAGGATTTATTTAATATTCCCAAACTGTTGAATTAAGCAGTTTTAGATAACTGTCTCCTTATAACAGTTTTTATGTTGGTAATATAGACCAATATCTTAATTACAGAACTGTTTTATCTTAACCTGAGATAAATTTTTTTTTTTTGGGGGGCTGTGTTGGGTCTTGCGGGCCTTCTCTAGTTGCAGCGAGCGGGGGCTACTCTTCGTGTGGTGCACTTGCTTCTCGTTGCAGTGGCTTCTCTTGTTGCACAGCACGGGCTCTAGGCCAGCAGGCTTCAGTAGTTGCGGCGTGTGGGCTCAGTAGCTGCGGCACGCGGGCTCTAGAGCACAGGCTCAGTAGTTGTGGTACGTGGGCTTAGTTGCTCCGCGGCATGTGGGATCTTCCTGGACCAGGGCTCGAACCCATATTCCCGGCATTGGCGGGCAGATTCTTAACCACTGTGCCACCAGGGAAGTCCCTGAGATAATTCTTGCTGTGGCACATTAACCACCAACAAAATTCTGTTAGTGACATCCCCAAACCATGGAACTTTATTTTAAAAATTTTTTTTAGTTTTTTTGGCTGTGCCACGCAGCTTCCAGGGGTCCTAGTTCCCCCACCAGGAATTGAACCTGCGCCCTTGGCAGTGAAAGCAAGGAGTCCTAAGCACTGGACCGCTAGGGAATTCCCTAAACCATGGAACTTTAAAGTTAAAATTATCATCAACTGCTGGGAAGCATAAAAATAACATTACTATTAACAGGGTATGAAAATTAGGTTTTTAAATTAAAAATAAAACCTGGTTACTGTTCTCCAGGAAATAATATTTCAAATACACAGCTGTCCCTTGGAATCTGTGGGGCACTGGTTCTAGGACTATTGTGGGTACCAAAATTTGTGGATGCTCAAGTCCCATATACAAAGTGGTCTAGCACCGAGGGCTGACTGTGTAATCATCTCCAGATTAGCTACCAAATTTTTTTATATTTAAGATGTGGGGACAGAAATTAACATCATTTTACGTACAGGTATATTTACCAAGCTCTCAATCTTCTAAAGATTTAGAAGGCTCGAAATGTAACAAATTTAATATCATTTAAAGAATTTCATGGAATCTTAGTTTTAAATTATAGAAAACATCACATCTAATTAACTTCTATTACATACAATTTAAAGAAATACCTTGAGGTGTGTAATTCATGAATTAGGAAGTAGCAGTTTGATTTTCCAATTTGAACTTTTAATTTAAGCCCTGAGTGCAATTCTATACAGAATTTCTTGTTCCTTTTCATTTTATACAGATGTTGGAATTTGTTCACACTTTTCTCTTATTTTCATTTAAAACATACCTAATGTTAACTTACAGATACCATGAGTCATACTTTTAGTATCAAAATAAAAAGTTTTATTTATTTAAAAATGTTAAAAACATGATTCCTTTAAGAAAAAAATTCTTACAGTTTTAAATCCATAATAGGATTCAGAGCAATGTTTGTCTGTTTGAACCACCTGGGGTCTTCTTTAAAACTAAATTTTGGGTCCACCCTAGAGATTTACTGAATCAGAATCTCTGAGGATATGGTCTAAGAATGAGTTTTAAAAATTCTGTCAGGGCATTGTTTTTATACTAATGTTTGAGAGCCACTGATTCAAAGTGAAAACCAAGATGTGACCCTGGGTGGTTTCACTGAAGATAGAAAATAATTTAGGGAGTCCAGTCAATCCCATAATGGTCTGTAAGGTAATCTAAGACTGCTGATGTGCTTGACAAAGCATTAAATATTCTTTTTTCCTGCCTCGAAGTTATCTTTTCCATCATGTACATTAAATGTTGATGGAAACACATATAAGGAGTTCCAAGTTCAAGAGCAATGTCAACCCAGTCCCAGATGCATTTCAGTGGGGTTTCCTCATATCCAGCAAATATGGCCGGGTTGGCTAAGAGTCCTCTTGCAACCATCACACCTATAAATTAAAGCACATCACGTTTGTCCACACATTAAGAACTCATGGTTATGGGGTCAAACTCAATGAAACAAACTGAGAATATTCAAAAATAAAGTATTATTACAAGATTTCACAATGCCCTTGTATTAGACTAATTCTTATTAAAGGATTCATTTTGGTATTTTTTATAACCAATTAAGTGTAAATGAACTCACAAGACTTTTTTTCTTATATTTTAAAGACTTCTACATTAAAAAATTAGTTTTCCGGATTTTCTTAAGAGTAAATCTGGATTGTTATAAATTGGGTTTGCCTGAAGTTTATCTGCATTCTCTCATCCAGCAATAGGTATCACAGGGCTTGGTATGCCAAAATTGAAGGGGATAATGAAACTGCATAGCAGTCTGGGGTTTCTTTGGCTCCTATGACCACTCTTGGATTCACGAATTCTATAGGCTCTAGTGGTCACTAACTGGATGAGATGGTGGCAGAGAATTAACTGAACTAATTTACTCCAATTAAAATAATCTGTTGTTTCTAAGTAGATGGATTAACATCATTTTAGTAAATTGCTTGGCTTAAATTGGTAAAACAGGAAAATATGGTAAAACAGGAACATAATTAACATTATTCTCCCACCCCCACTTTTTAATTTTTCTGCTAATTAAAAAACAAAAAACCTGAAGTAATTATTTCTTACCATCTGTCCCAGTAATATGCCACACATTTTCTGCTTCTTTTAAGCTTCTGATGTCTCCATTAGCAATTACAGGTATAGACATATTTTCCTTAATTATTTTAATGGCCTCATAATGAACTGGCTGATGCCTTTCTTCAACAGTTCTTCCATGGACTGTAATCCAGGAAACCCCTGTCGCTTCAGCCTTTCGACAAAGATCTACAGTTCTTGTAAGGTCATCATGGATCCTATAATTTCAAAATCATATCTATCTTTTCACAGCACACAAATCTTAATGCTAACATCAAGAAACTAAATAGAAAAATATTTCATCTGTTACATTATTTAGTTTAGCTATGCTATATCATGTTATCACCACGTGCCCCTATCAGTGAGGTTTTGTTCAGGAATCAGTTCCCATTCAAGACCCTGAATTTAGCTATTTCACTATCGATAACAATAGGATGACAAATAACTTTTACCCAGTGCTCCTCTCTTTTGGCTTTGATAACTGAAAGATTCATCAAAGTACTGTCACAGATGCACTGAAAGGTGCTATCTTAATATTTGCTGTGCATGCTCCAATCCGCAAGTGGGAGAATTATAATAATTTATCTTGAGATTTGTTTTTAACCTGTCACCAAAAGACTAATTTTTAGTTTATTTTCTTTTCACTGTGAAATTTTAGTGCAAATATCATTCCTATTTTCTACTCTTGGTATCAGGAATGTCTCTTAGCATTAGTTAATTAAATAGTACATGGAAAAAGTTGTTTCTCTTGGGAGAGAGTTTTTAATAATAAAAGGATATTTTAATTTTTCTTTAAAAATGCGAAGAAGAAATTGTTTTGGATTATAAATAAAAATTATGGTATCTATTCATTTACTAAATGTTTTGTTTTAACATTTTCATATACTAGATGCCTACTTACTAAGAGTAGACATCTCCACACCTTCAGACAAAAGGAATATTCTTTTATTTCCTGAGTAATGGACTATCTTGTCAGTAGATTAAAATATTATCTTTACCTTATTTTAATAGATACTGAAAATCTGGGATTTTCCACTTGATTTCTTACTTGTTTCACCATGTCTCGAACAAGCTCTGGATTGTTTATTAGGCAAGCTCCATAACCTTCTGCCAATGCCCACCTTCATAAAGTAAATACAACAACAAATAAATTGTTATCAGTTGGAAGAGAAGATACAATTCTAAAAGCACAGTAAGTGCATTTATTATTTCTCTACCTAGCAACCTGGAATGGAACCAGATTTTTAAAATCATAGATCCAACACTTCTAAGTGTATTGAGATTAGGAAAACATGTTCCCAGATCAAGAAATACTTAGGGGAAATGGTTTTCACTGGCAAGTGAGAAAATTAAAGTTCATTCAACCGAAACAGATTTAAGTATTTGTAAATGCAATTACTTCAGATTTTTTTAATTCCAAATTTGATGTTCATTGTACATAACAAGAGGTTTTTTTAATCTTAAGAGGAAAGATATTTTTGGCTTACAGCATTCCAATACCACTAAACAGCTTACTGAACTCTCCTAATGAGTATTCAAATATATCTAATCTGATTTGGATTATGCTATACATAAAACCTTGATTTTATTCTTTGAACACATTTTGAATTATTGACAGATAATCTAGTATAGTGCCAGGAAGGTAGGGATGTTATTGTCAAAATAAGTACATCCTATCAACACCCAGTTACTCAGACTCAACCAAATAACTATGGTATAGGAAGAAAAGGTAATTATAAGAAGGTTTTCTTATAATTGAAATTAAGCAAGAGAAAACAAGTGATCTCCCAAATCATAGAATCATAGTGTTTAGAGCAAGTATGTCTGACAGAGCAGTAAAAATACATTTTAGGGATTGCCATAAACATCAGTCTCACATAATTACTTATGGATGAGGTTCAAGGCAGATCCACACATAAAAATAATTCTAGTGATGAGGTGAGACAAAAACTTGTCAAGGGTCTATATATTGTTGTAGCCATCAGAAAATATCTTTGCATGTATGTTTCTAAATAATATTTCCTTATTTTTTCTTGCTTCTTATTTAGAGCTCAAGTTCTTTATCTCTATTTTCCTTACTTTTTAATTTTTGGAATACCAGAATGATAGTTTACCATGTTCACATAGTTTTTCCTAATCTTTTTGAAAATTCTTCCAACTTCTTTGAGCTTTACCTCTGAGGACAACCACAGTTAATGTCTATTCCATTCGCATAAGGACAGACTATACGAGCAGCATCAGACAAAATTCTTGCATCATTAGCAGCAAACTGAACAATCAATGGGCAATCACCTGATAAAACAAATAGCTCAACATTAAAATTCACAGAAACACACACACATGCACACGAGATACCAAATTCTAATGTCTGTACAGGATAAAGTAACAATTTTTAGGCTAAGAAGCATCTGTTCAAACAAGATAGCATTAAAATAATTTAAAATATTTTAAATTACATGCAATTTAGATTTGGTACAAATTCAAATAGGAAAAAATTTGATAAAATGAAAAGTACAACACTCTTGCCAAACAGACCCCTTTCCCAAAGGTGGGAATTAGCTTACTGCATTCTAGAACAATTTTATGAATACCTATAAAATTTAAGCAAATGTGAACATTCTATGTACGTTGCTATCCATATTGTGTTTTTCCCCGGATGTAACTGGGACCTGTATTCAGACCTATTTTCCTCTTTTTAGTGGCGTATTCCACTGTGATGGGTGGACCATAGATTATTTTTCATTTGCGGCTCTTGCAAACAATGCTGCAATGAAGATACTCCATATACATGCTTTTGTGAGTATATTCATGAAGTAAATTCCTAGGAGTATGTATAACTGCTGGGCGGGCATCTAACATTTTGAAAGACATTATAAAATCTTCTTTCAAGAGTTTACCAATATAGATATACACCAGTGTGGATGACAGTTCTGATTTCCTTACAACTTATCCTACACTGTATACCCAACAGCATATTTTTTTATTTGTAGCCTCTCTCTCCATATTCTTTGCGTAGTTCTCTATGTACAATTTTTCTTTTAGTTGCTCCTTTTTTCATATTATTTAAATTAAAAAAAATAAAACAAAGAAATTAGCTCTGCTATCATAAACATCAAAAATATTATAAATATTTTCCCCAGTTTTTCATTTGTCTTTGAGAATATCTGTGCTCTTTTTTTATATATAAAAGTCTAAATTTTAACATAGCCAAATGTATCAGAGCTTTCCTAGGTTTTAAAGGACACATTTTTCTCATCTTTGGGTGTTATAAATTCTGAATAGATGTATTTTAATTTTTCTAAAGTTTTTTTTGAGGACTACCTGTATCAGATTCACTGGGTGTTTACCAAAATGCAGATTTCTGGGTATCGCTCTAGTTCTACTGACTCAGAATTTCTATGGCAATCCACTGATTTACAGGATTATCTAAGGGATAGGAGAATTTGCTTTTTCCTGAGGACGTAGGTAGGGTGCTTTCTCCTTTGTAACTCAAGAGAGTTATAAAATTTCAATCTAACAACCATTTATTGGTCAAATATATTTTCAATGCTGTGCTAGAAGCTGAGGATACAAACCAACAAGAAAGAATTCCAACCCTTAAGAAGCCCACAGTCTAGTGGGAGAGACAGGCATGTGAGGAGGAAATTACAGTACAGTAGGATTAAGTACAACAAAAAGCCGGGGCTTGCGAGACAGGACATGAATGGAGGGTGATTAGGCAAGTTCCTTGGTCACAGTTTTAGAGCATTAAGAAGCATGAACTGTCCTTTCCCAGGGGGATAGGGATGCGGGGATAGGCCTGACTAAGAAGGACATTCTAGGTAGAGAAGTGTGAGAGATTAGGGCATGTTCAAGGACTTAAAATAACTTAGTGTGTATATATATATTTATAATTATATATATATATTTTTTTTTTTTTTTTTTTGCGGTATGTGGGCCTCTCACTGTTGTGGCCTCTCCTGTTGTGGAGCACAGGCTCCAGACGCGCAGGCTCAGCAGCCATGGCTCACAGGCCCAGCCGCTCCACGGCATGGGGGATCTTCCCTGACCGGGGCACGTACCCGTGTTCCCTGCATAAGCAGGCAGACTCTTAACCACTGCGCCACCAGGGAAGCCCCAATAACTTAGTATTTTGAAGAATAAAGTTGGTGGGCCATGGAGAGAAACTAATGGAAGATAAAGCTACAGAACACGTATTCAGAGGCCAGATCATGAAGAACGTTCTATATTGTCCACACGTGCTGGAATTTTACTCCTTAGGTCAGTGGCTCTCAATCATTAACAAGCTCAGAATCACCTGGAGGGCTTTTTAAAACACAGATTGCCCGACACATACCCAGAGTTTCAGATTCAGTAAGCCTGCGGTGGAGTCTGGAACTTCCATTTCTAACAAGTTTTCAGATAATGCTGATGTTAACTGGTCTGGGAAATCACACTTTGAGAACCACTCTTTTAGGTGATGAGAAGTCTAAGGAAGATTGTGAGCAGGAAGAAGTGATCAAATTTACATTTTAGAGAGGTCACTTGGGGCTGTCTGGAGGGTAGTTTGAAATGGGATAAGACTGGAGGCAGTGAGATAGGAATCTAACCCAATAGTCTAGGTGAGAGAATGGGGCTGACTAAAACTTTGATATATTATCCATAGTTTACAAGGTACTGAATAAAAGCATATTTTTTAAAATTTATAAAAACCATAAGAAACTGAAAGATTTAAAAATAAAATCTCCGAATTGTGTTGTCTCTGATTAGACAAGAGTGTTGAGTTTTGTTGTTTTGTTTTTAAAGTTTTACAAAGGCAGCAAACTCTAGCTTTCACATACCTTGGTTTGTGGTAAATTCACTGTCTCTGGCTTTTATAGATCTGATAAAATCAGCAGCAACTATCATTGGCGTATAGCACAGATCGCAACTGTATTTTCTTACCAGTGTTCTAAAAGCCAACCTGAGAGCATATAAAACTTTAATTAGGCATTTAGAAAGCACCATAATCAGAGTTTAGTTTAGTTAATTATTGAATATTTAATATTTATTAGAGAAAAGTTCTGCCTATGGGAAAGTGCAGTAGATGTACTCTTCCCTATCACTCCTGCTTAGTATAACTAAGAGCTCTGGATATCATATACAAAACAAACGTATGGAAACTCTGAAAGGCGGCGAGAAGAGAGCAGGCAGGCTAGTGACCTCGGGCAGGACCTAAGGAACGACAATGGTGAGTTCCCTGGGTTTTCTCGTTGCCTCAAATATCCCAGATTTGAAGCTGAAGAAGCTGGCAACCTGGAAATAGCAATGGGTGCAGACAAAAACAGCCCCAGCAAAAGCCTGCTCTCTAGCCAAAGCACCAAGAAAGGGGCAGCCTAGCAAGCTTTAAAATAATAATGGCTCTACTCCAGCCCAACACCAGCGAAAAAACTGTGGCCCTCACCTCCACAAGCGAAAGTCGAGTGGGAGCTTACACTTGTACCGTTCCAAAGCTGTCACAAAGTTCTCCAACACCCCTCCACGGTGGTGTTAGAGAAGGCCAGGTAGGGAGCTGGGACTTTAATCCCTGCTGGCCAGTAACAAGGAGGGTATCAGCGGAGACCATCTGGGGAGCCTGGAATTCCACACCAACCCTGCAGCAGTGAGGTGCCCTTCTCCCTTTCTCCGGGAGTAGTGTTAGAGAATGCTTAGTGAAGAGCCAGGACTTTCATCATTGCCCAGCAGTTACCAGGCCACCCCCTGCATGGGGAGCTGGAACTCTCACCCCTGCTCAGCAGTAATGAGGAGCCTCGTGCCCCCGGGGTGTCAAAGGAGACCAAGTGGAAAACCTAGGCTTCTACCTCCACCTGAGAGTAATGAGGTGGTGCTTTCTCGTCCTTCCCCTGCTGTGGTGGTGTCAGAAAAAGCTAGTTAAAACAGAAGTTTCAATATTCAGAATCAATCACTGTAATCCATCACATTAACAGACTAAAGAAAAAAAAAAACACATGATTGTATCAATTGATGCAGAAAAAGCACTGGACAAAACAGCATTCATGATTTAAAAAAAAAGCCTCTCAGGAAAACAGGAATAGAGGGAACTTTCTCAACCTGATAAAGGACATCCACAAAAAATTCTACACTTAATATTATATTAGGATCTTTATATATATTTTCCGTAAGATCTTATGGAAAAACGCAAATGAACTTTTTGGCCAACCCAATTATAGGTGAAAGAATACTTTCCCCCCAGATCAAGAACAAGGGAAAGATGTCTGCTCTCATCACTCTTATTCAGTACAGTGCTGCAACTTCTAGTCAGTGCAATAAGGCATGAAAAAGAAACAAAAGGCATCTGATGGAAAGGAGGAAGTAAAACTATCTCTATTTGCAGATGACATGATTGTCTACTTAGATAATCCTAAGGAATTTGTAAGAGGGACGTCCTAGAACCAATAAGTAAACATAGCAAGTTCACATAATGTAAGGTCACCACACAAAAAGCAATTTTACTTCTATACACCAGCAATGAACACATGGACGCTGAAATTAAAAGTACAATAACTGGAGTGTAAGCCTTACAAAATATGTTCAGAAAATGTACGTTGAAAACTATACGACACTGATGAAAGAAATCAAAGAAGATCTAAATAAATGGAGAGACATACCGTGTTCATGAGGAGACTCAACGCAGTAGGGAATTCAGTTCTCCCCAAATTGATATGCATTTTCATACAATTCTTATGGAAAATCCAGCAGGATTTTTTGTAGGTATAGAAAAGATCATCCTAAAAAGTTATTTGGAAAGGCAAAGGAACTAGAATAGCTAAAACAATTTTGAAAAAGAAAAGTGGGATTTATTAAGTTTACTTAATTTGAGGACATTATATAGCTACAGTAATCAAGACTGTGGTATTGGTAGAGGGAGAGACACATAGATCAAGGGATTAGAACAGAGAATGCAGAAAAAGAACCATACAAACATGCTCAACTGAGTTTTGATGAAGATGCGAAAGTAATTCAATAGTGGAAAGACAGCCTTTTCAACAAATAGTACTGGAGTAATTAGACATCCACAGGCAAAACCAAACAAACAAACAAACCAACCTCAGCCTAAGTCTCACACTTAGACAGAAATTAATTAAAAATTATGAACTTAAATGTAAACCATAAACTAAAAGACTTTTAGAAAAAACATAGGACAAAATCTTTAATATCTAGAGTTACATAAAAATTTCTTATACTTGACAACAAAAGCACAATTTGCAAAAGGAAAAACTGATAAAATGGACTTCATCATTAAATAAAAACTTTTGGTCTGCCAAAGACCCTGTTAAGAGGATGAAAAGACAAGCAACATGCTGGGAGAACATATATGCAAGCCACATATCTGACAAGAGTAGTATCTAGTATAGAGAATTCTCAAAACTCCAGAGTAAACACAACAGTAACAACAAAAAAACCAAACAATCTGATTCAAAAATGGGCAAAGGGCTAGAAGAGATATTGTGCCAAAGAAGATATACAAATAGCCAATGAGCACATGAAAAGATGCTCAACATCACTAGAAAAATACAAATAAAAATCACAGTAAGTCACATCCATTAGGATGGCTATTAAAACAACAACAAAAAAACCCTGGAAGACAACAAGTGTTGATGAGAATGCTGAGAGACTAAACTCTTGTGTACTGCTGGTAGGAATATAAAATGGTGTAGCTGCTATGGAAAATAGCAGGGCAATTCCTCAAAAATTAAAAATAGATTTGTCATATGATCTAACAATTCCACCTCTGGGCATATACCACAAAGAATGAAAGCAAGGTTTCAAAAAGATATTTATATATCCATGTTCACAGAAGCATTATTCCCAAGAGTCAAAAGATGGAAGCAACTCAAGCTGGGATGAATGGATAAACAAAATGTAGTATATACATACAATGGAATATTATTCAGCCTTAAAAAGGAAGGAAATTCTGGGTCTTCCCTGGTGGCGCAGTGGTTAAGAGTCCGCCTGCCGATGCGGGCTACGTGGGTTCGTGCCCCGGTCCGGGAAGGTCCCGCACGCCGCGGAGCGGCTGGGCCCCGTGGGCTGTGGCCGCTGAGCCTGCGCGTCCGGAGCCTGTGCTCCGCGGCGGGAGGGGTCACAACGGTGAGGGGCCCGCGTACCGCAAAAAGAAAAAAAAAAAAGGAAATTCTGATACATGGTACAACATGGGTGAACCTTGAGGATATTATGCTCAGTGAAATAAGCCAGTCTCAAAGAGACAAATACTGTCTGACCACTTAGATCATACACATACCAGGCAGTTGGCAGCATGAGGACTCAAGCCCGGACCCTGGTCCCAAAGCTAGGCGTTTGAAGATCCTATGTGGTGGGGTGGTCTTACTTTTAAGAAGTCAGAGCATAAAAAGGAAATCACACCTAAGCTCATTAACCATTTAACAATACTTACTTTGAATATCGCACCATTGGGGCGCAGACTTTTACCAGCTGCCCAGAATGAAGCATTTCTATTGGATCATTTTTTCTTTCTTGACATGTTGTGGTTTGCATGCAGTCACTCTTCATGAATACAGATTTGTTTCAAATCTGAAAAAGATAACCAGTTTGCGTAGAGAAAAGGCACTCACTTTCACTTGATGAATACCATCATTCTTACAATTTCAATTGCCAAGAACACGTATTTTTCATCAGGTTTTGTGGGCTTAGGAATCTTCTTAGCTTCTTTTCACAGTATCGAATAGGATACTACTGAATTCTGCCTCTATTTATAAATCACAGATAGTTTTCAGCACACTGTGCAATTATGACATTTATATTCTGTACAAATTACCCTTGTTCAAGTCAAACACTAACAGTTTTGAATTCTATACTTAACCCACTACTGTAACATTTTCTGCTCAAATTTATAAATGATCAGGATGTGGAAAACCACAAGATATCTTCCTAGAATACATATTACGATTTTCCATGTTACTTTTTTAGACTTTACTTTGTTTGGCATTGATTAACCAACAAATTTGATTTGAATAATTTCATATATAGTACTGTGTATGTCTGGCACTTTGAAATACCTTGTTTTATCCAGGAAAGTTAAATGGCAGTAACAGAACAACTTTAAGTAGTCAGCATTTCAAAAGATGTACTGGTTTATTTATTTATTTATCTAACATCTTTATTGGAGTATAATTGCTTTACAATGGTGTGTTAGTTTCTGCTGTATAACAAAGTGAATCAGCTATATGTATACATATATCCCCATATCCCCTCTCTCCCATCCTCCCTATCCCACCCATCTAGGTGGTCACAAAACAACGAGCTGATCTCCCCATATATAAGAATATGTTTACTCTTATTCTCAAATCCTATTCTTTTTATTTGAATCAGAAGGCAAACAAACATTTAATTATTATTTTTAAGCATTTAAATGTTTCATGAACATCGTTTCATGAAAATCTCAATTGTAATCACATAATTGCATAGTAAATCACTATTATACCCAAAGAGGGAGAAGTGATTAAATTAGGCGATTCCTGTGTTTTATAGTTGCTATACTGTACTTAAAATCCTATCATTTCATAGTGTTGGCTGCTTTCCATATTCCAATTTTGGCCTTACCAACTTAAAAATATATATGGGCCAACTTCAGAAAGGTCTAATTGCTCCACATGCAATTTCTTGTTTGGCTAATCCTGAAAGTACTGTTATAACCTAAATATAAACCAATAATTTCAATTTCCTTAGGTAGAATGTACAGGTGGAATAAGATAAGCTAGTTCTACTGATCACTGTTCATCACTTTATCACTGTTACTGTTTAACTTAATATTTAGAGAGTTAATAGCTTATTTTTTTAAACAAAAGTTCATGATTAGAAAGATGTAAGCCACCTACATAGGTAAAGTATAAAGCAAAAGAAAGGTAGTCGCCTTTTCATGAATCAAACCTGTCTCATCTCCCTTGCATTCCAGATCCTGGTTATGCCATCACAATCCATCCCTACGCACTCAAGTCAGAAACTTGGGGCTTGTCCTTCACTCTCCATCTCCTGCAGGTGTGTCAACTAAGTGGTACCTTTAATTAAACCTTGAGCCCATTTTCACTGGCTCACAGAGTCTCTGTACTCATAATCCCCCATCCTGATGACTCTGACAATCTTCTTGGAATCCCAGTTGATCTTATTTTTATTCATTCAACAAATATCAAGTTTCTGCTACATGTTGGGAACACAGATGAAAATATATTTTCTGTGTCCTTGAAAATGTATTAGACAAACTTACACAACACAATAATGCTAATACACTCAAACACAATTTAAGCACTGTAGAAATAACTGTCTAGAGAAGTGAGGGAAGTCAATAATGGATGAAGGGGGCTTCCCTGGTTGCGCAGTGGTTGAGAGTTTGCCTGCCAATGCAGGGGACACAGGTTCGTGCCCCGGTCCGGGAAGATCCCACATGCTGCGGAGCGGCTGGGCCCGTGAGCCATGGCCGCTAAGCCTGCGCGTCCGGAGCCTGTGCTCCGCAACGGGAGAGGCCACAACAGTGAGAGGCCCGCGTACCGCAAAAAAAAAAAAAAAAAAAAAAAAATGGATGAAGGAAATCTTGAGCTGACACTACATGGGAGATGGGGAAGTGTCCAGTTACAGAGAACATGTAAAAAGCCACAGCAGCATGAAAATGCTTGATGTTTTCAGTGAACCATTAACAACAGTTCAGGATTGCTTGAGTTGTAACTAGACTAGAAAGGGCATGAGAGGGCCTATACACCAGGTTAAGATATTTTAGATTTTAAACTGTAGGGCCTTGGTTCTCAGCCATTTTTCCTCCTCTGTGGGTGATTTTTACATATGCACTCAACATGTTAACTTGTGCAAATGACATACTTCCATGGGCATATATTTTTGTGTAAGTTGTTTGTCTCTCCTTGTATACTAGTTGTAATGGAAAAATTTTAGCAGAGAAATGACATGGTCAGATGTCTGATTCAGAAAGATTTCGATGGAGGGATTAGGGCTGTTGGTAAAATATCAGTAAGGAGCCCACTGTAGTAGACCAAGCCGTGTGTAATGAGTATCTGACCTGGGACTCCAGGAATGAGGATAGAGGGAACACATTTAGGAGCTATTTAGAAATAAAAATAAACTAGCAAGACATTTAGGAGGTGGAAATCACCTGATGACAGCACGTGTTGTGTAATTAAGAAAGAATTCTAGGATGATGTGTACACTTCTGGCTTTAGAGACTGGGCGGATGGCCATTCCAATCAATGAGACAGAGAACCAGAAGGAGGAACAGGCTTTGGGAGGGAAATGAGTCCACGCTTGGGCACACTGAAGTTGAGGTGCTCAGGGGATTTCCAGGTGGTGATGCCTCATAACTGGTTATATAGATATGGTACTAAAGAAAAAGCTAGAGATAAGTCTTTAACCTTTAGGTAATATGTTGAAACTAAAAACATGGACAAAGTACTTATGGATGCCATTATCTTGTAGAAATCCTTAGAAGCACCAACATTTAAGTAAAAGGGGGAAAAAAAAGAATGTAAAGGAGACAGAGAGATGAACTCTGGAGCTGGGAGGAATAAATCTGAAACGTGATATTCAAAAGAGAGGGAATAGTATTACGAAGGAGGGAGGGGATAAACATATTAAACATCACAGAAGAGTTAAGTAAAGACTAAAACGTGTCCAATGGCAACTAGGTCATTGTGACTTTAGCAAGAATAATTTCACTCTTATTCATTCTTTTTTTTTTTTGCGGTACGCGGGCCTCACTGTTGCGGCCTCTCCCGTTGCGGAGCACAGGCTCCGGACGCGCAGGCCCAGCGGCCCTGGCTCACGGGCCCAGCCGCTCTGCGGCATGTGGGATCTTCCCGGACCGGGGCACGAACCCGTGTGCCCTGCATCGGCAAGCGGACTCTCAACCACTGCGCCACCAGGGAAGCCCTTATTCATTCTTTTGTTGTTGTTGTTAAATAATTTTTATTGTTCTTCTTCCTGCTGGTTATGCAGGCAGCCACAAGTGGTGCATACATGACAGCTTTCCCTTCAGGGCTTCATGACTCCACTTTAAATGAAGTTTTCTTTATTTTCACATTTCCCTCTTTTGATCAAGATCTTTCCTCAAAAGCATTGCTGATCAAGAGTCAGGTTGTCCATATTTAGTGGTTTTTGTCCCTTGGTACCAGGAAGGGCGTTTCCTGGTTGTCATGTCCCACGTCAGAGGGAAAGTGCATAGCGATTGGAAACCACTGAAGCCACATTTGAGTAACAAGGAGGAGCATGAAGAAGAACACTCAGGAATTTCTCATCTAAAGTCTACATTCCATCTAGGTTGTAAGCACTGGAGGTCATCTTGAAGCACTGAGCTAGAGTCACCCTATTGAGTAAGCTGTTTCTACAAACGTTTAACAGGCAACAAGTACAGAGCTTAAAAGTAATTATGCAAAAACAGTAATTATGCAAGGCAGAGTTAAAAGCAATATGACAAGTCCAGTTTGTATGATGGTAGCCAGCTAAATAGATCAAAAGACCATAGAGTATCAAGGGGAATTTGTTGTAACCAGTGCACTTGTTCCCTGACCTTGTGTAACTGAATTTCTACCTCTCCAGAGTATTTATCCATGTGCAACAGGTGGTACTTAATTCATTCTTGTAGTCCCAGTACATGGCACGAAGAAGGCCTCCCTTAATACATATTTGCTGAATGAAAAAATCAGTAGTTCTTAATCTTGGTTGTACATTAGAATGATCTGGTGAGATTTTAGGAAGCAGGATGCCCAAACCATACCCCAGAGCAATTACATGTGAATCTCAGGGCGTAGGATGCAAGCAAGCATCAGTGATTGTTAAAGCTCTCCAGGTGATTTTAATGGGCAGCCAAGCTTGGGAATAAACAAATCCACGTCCTCCAAGGCACCTGGTAATACTGTTTGTTTAAATGGGTTTCTACCTACCTATTCGCTCCTCTGGGATAAGACAGGGATTGAGTCTAATGTTTGTACACTCATGCTGGTACATATAGTAGAGACTCAAACTCTTCATTGAATGAATGAATATTATGTAACTTTTCTAAAAATTTTCAATGTAAAAGCCAGGGAAGGAAAAACAATCCATAATTCAAAGATAATACTTATTCATCATTAATATTCAAAAATTATTGAAGTCAAATTTTGTGTATTATAGATAATGAAACCTAATGTGAATCTCAGCACACTGCCCTTGGCGATTTGTGAGACCTCCATTCAGAACATTCAATCCTATTCACACCGTGACTGAAATCAAAGTATATTAGGGGAAAACCTCTGTGACAGAGAGAAAGCATAATGCAGTGTAGTGAGACATACTTGCTTGAGTTGCTACGGGCATCTAATATGTTCGAACGGCATTTGGCACAGCTAAGTACTACTATCACATTCTCGAAAATCCGTTAGCTGAATCAAGAAAAACTTTAGCTCTGGCACTGGGAAAAATAGGTTCCCTGCATACATACTTACTGTAGACGAAGGGAAAGTTAACGTTTCTTTTTTACGTTAGAAATGCTTAACCTTCTCGCACACGTGTGGTTGACCTGTTAACTTACTAGTATTTATCGTGAGAGAAATACAGGTGAATACTGCCGATGTTAACAGCGGAGAAGATATAACGGGAACTAACCTGATGATTTTACAGCTCCAATACTGTTAGTTGAGAGATGGAAAATCCATCAATTTGTGACAAGGAAAAGTCTGGCGTCGCTCAGGACTGAAACTAGGCGGTAGAAAAAGCCTAAGGTCACTGTCTCATGGGAGGGTAGCAGAGACTGAGTCCCACTTATCTATTCCTGGTTCAGTCTTCCTACTTAACCGACTCTCGGCTCTCCCTAATTCTCCCCACTTTCATCCCTGGCAACTTTCCTCCCCAAGCTTTTCCCGCCTGCCTTTATCCCAAGAACGCGAAGCAAGGGTTGTGATAGATACAGGTGGGTAGCTATTAACGCCCGCCAGCTGTGCTTGTGGCGTGCACACGAAGCTACCGGAAACCTCCGTTCTCTTCTAGTGCTTCCATCGAGAGGTCCCATTCTCAGGTTAAATACTTGCTTTAGAGGTGAGCGCTGCCGCCACGTTCCGGCGCTCACCTGTTCTTCCGCCCAGGGAACGCCGCCAGCCCCAGGAATGCGGCGGGAGACGGGAGAAAGCGCCGGACCCACGACCTCAGCTTCCCTGGTGCGCTGGGTCCTCGGCGCCCACCTACTCTGGGCCCCGCGCCGTTCCCAGCCAGGGTCGGCGGCACATCAGCTGCAGCAGATCGGAATCTCCAAGACAGCCGGGTGGGCGGAGCTGGCGGCGCCGGGATTCTGCGTCATGACCTGGGCGGGGCGCGTCGCTGCTGACGCCATCTCCCCGGCACCTGCCAACATGGAAGGTGGCGACGGCAGCCTCGCTCTGCCTGGCCGTCCGGCTCTGGGCTCCGGAGCGGCTGCAGCGACTGTCCGGGAGCTCCTGCAGGACGGTAAGGAGTCGGGGTCTGGCCGGGCCATGGGGTTGGGGGATTGTCCTGCTCCGCACCTGGGCCCAAGTGGTGGACTCAACCCTTCGCTTTGCGGAAAGTTTTCCTGTCTCGGCGTGACCACTCCCCTCCGCCCGGCCCCCTGGCGTCTGGGTGCTGGCCTAGCCAACTTGTTTCTCCAGGAGTTGCTGTCCCCTTCCCTTCCGGGTGTCCTGGGGACACCTGATATCTGGAGGCTCCTCATTTCAACTCTTCCCTCCACGCTCCTGGGGTTTCGCTGATGTCCCGAGTTCCCGCCCTCGGTGACCCACTGCTACCGCAGTTCTTGACGAAAAGGTGAAGCGTTTGATTCCATGAGAAGTGTAAAACCTAGAGCAGATTACAAGCGCTTGATGAAGGGGGTCTCATTTTTAGGTAGAGTTGGAAACATCCCCCTGTTAATACCCTGTTAATAAATTTTTGGACTGCACAGGTGGCCCCACTTACAAGCTCGCTTGTTTTTTTTTTTTTTTTTTTTTTTTTAACAAGTTTTTTTTCCACAGCCATACGTGGGGGAGGGTTGGGAGCATTCGTTCAGGCTGGGATTAACTATACGTATTGAATATAGCAATCAAGTTTATTGATAGTTTTGGATAGAAGTTTCTAGAAATAAGAGGATAAGTTAGACATAGTATATTTGAGAAGCACATAAAATTGTATTAATGAAGTTAACATGCCCCAAACTTCTTTTCTTTCAGAATAAAGTTCAAATTTCTAAGATCCTTCTCACCTGTTCTTAATTTTCTTCCCTAATCTCCATCACGTTCAACCTTGTATTAAAATAATTAGTGTACTTAATCTTTTCTACTTCATTGTAAAACCCCTTTTTATATTCTGCAGAGTTAATAACAGTAACTTGCCTACAGTAGGTGCAGAGTAAGTGGTTTTTAAAAATTGAACATCACAGTAAAGAAGCATATGCACACATATGTAGACCCAAATAGGTTCTAAACGAATGAAATAAAGTTCTAAAGTACTGTTTGTTTTCTGTGTTGTATGTTTTATTATTGCCCTTAATTCCTTGCCTTCTGATTATAATTTACATACTTTTGTCAAAAGTTACTAATGATGTTTTCTGAACTAGATCATGTTCTCTAGGTTAGGATCTCTGGCTAATGCATCTTTGTACCTTAATTTAAATTCAGGTTAACCAAGTTTTGAGCTCCTGATATATACGCAATTCCCACCCTCAAGTAGCTCACCATTTTGGTAGGAGAAATAGCCCTGTAGAGTTAGAAAGGTAGGCACCGTAATATAGTGTTGTAAGGGTAGCAGTAGAATTGTATACGAAGTAAAACATGAATACAAAAGAGGATGATAACTGGGAGTGGTTTAAGGGAGTGTCAGGAAAGGCTTTCTAGATGGAGTTGGTTTTGAGGTGTAAATAGGACGTTCCCAGGTGAAGTGAAGGAAACAGTACATGCTGCGCATGGGTATTTATTTCAGTTGGGTGCATTCCAGCAATTGTAATCAGTTTTTGGAGGGTAAACAGTCCTCAATTCTGCTTTCTGTATTTTCCTATTTAGTTCTCTTTCCCATCTTCCACAATAATTATTTAAATCTACTCTTTTCGAACCACTCCCTTCAAGCTCGACAAATGGTTTTCAAGTTCCCTAAAAAAAAAAAAAATCTATTAGATATGCGCTGCTTCCATTTCTTGCGGTTAAACGTATAAACTAAGCCTGAACCTGCAGTCATTCTTTCTTCCTTCTTTTCTGTTGTATTTTCAATTATAAAAGAAGTGAAGTCTCCATTCCCTCCTAAGGACAGTCCCTCCCCTTGGTGCTCTGGATTTTCTTCCTGTCTCCTCAAGGACCCAGTTACCCTCATTCTATGCCATTGAAATCGCTTTGCCAAGGTCTCCAGTGACTTTCTTGTGGATAAATCAAATGGACACTGTTTCGGTCTTTCTTACTTGAACTTATGAAAGGGTTCGAATGTTTTATTGAAATACTTGCCTCATGTGGCTTGTTCCATTTTTTTTTTAATTTCCTAATTCTCTAAGTGTTCTTTTTCAGCTTTCTTTAGATGCTGTCGTCTTCATTTCGCCCCTAATTCAGTGGTTCACTCCACTCTTCCCTCCCACAACATTCCTAAGGAATTAAACATTTCCATCAGTAACAGTGATCCACTGTGTCAGGGGTCTGCCAGTGATAGAGGATAGGATTGGTCAGCAGATGCATAGTTTGAAATTTTGTGAGGTGTTTCTGATGTGCCTCCTATAGGCATGAGAAAGCTAAAAGAGAAGCACGAAGGACAGTCTGTCTTCAGATGCCAAATCCAATGGCCAGTATTCAGCCTTCATTGCGTTTGATCTTTATAAGACCTTTGACACTACTGACTTTCTTTAAGCTGTCCCTTTTGGTTTTTTGCTGTTCTCTCCTGTTTTTTTTTCTCTCTGAACACTTAATTTCTGTGATTGCTTTCATTTCTTCTATCTACCCCCATATTTTGGTGTTTTCCTGCTTCTGAGCTCTGTCGTTCCCGTTTTCCTTTTTTGTGCATTCTAAAATGTCTTCCTAAATCATCTGGTCTTTTTTTCATAGTTTGAAAATTAATATGTATACAAATATACACATATGGCCCGTACTCCTCTTCTGAGCTATAGAACCACTCTCTACTGGACATTTCTCTCTTGACAGTGAACAAGCACTACTAATTCTACATATAAAAATCTACATATGAACAAATAGTATAGGTTCTGCACATGAAAAAGTGAAATGAATTTTTTTTTTTAACCCCTCTCCTCTAACCTTTTCCTCTGGTAGTTTCTGTTACCATTAATTGTATGTGGTAAGTTAGATGTGTGCTTGTTCCCACGTAGGTTAGATGTGTGCTTGTTCCCACGTAGGTTATCAGTTCCTTGGAGGCAGGGGTACATTCATGTTCATCTTTATACAAAGATTTCTGGTGGACTGCTTTATGCAAAACTGAATTCCCTATGTCAGTTAATCAAGAAACTTGGGAATCATCCTTTAATTCTTGGTTTACCGAATCACCCATCTTTCAGCTTGTATGTAAGTCCTATACATTATGGTGTCTGAATATTTGTCAAATTTGTCACTTCCTTGACAGTCTTACTGCTACTATCTTAGTCTTCATCCTGTCACTTAGGCTGTTAACATAACACCTTACTGGCCTCTATTCCATGGGTGTGTACATAAATTAGTGTCCTGGGAAAATAGAAGAAGCCCTGATTTTGTAGTGTATGCTAAATTTCATGGTGTAAATACCCTTACCATGGTCAGTTTTTTTTTTTGCGGTACGTGGGCCTCTCACTGCTGTGGCCTCTCCCGTTGCGGAGCACAGGCTCCGGACGCGCAGGCCTAGGGGCCATGGCTCACGGGCCCAGCCGCTCCGCTGCATGTGGGATCTTCCCAGACCGGGGCACGAACCCGTGTCCCCTGCATCGGCAGGCGGACTCTCAACCACTGCGCCACCAGGGAAGCCCCTATGGTCAGTTTTAAGATACCTACATGTGATGTCAGCTGGCTCACAGAATTCCTGAGAGATTAACAGTTGGCTCTCAGGATCCAATCCGAGCCAGCCCCAGCGCACCACCGAGTGGCTAATCCCTTTTCAGTCATCCTCCATACATCTGCCAGAAACTGTTCTACAACACAAGGCTAACAGAGCTCTTTCTTGGCTTTAAAAGCTTAAATGGGAAATAGTCTGAACATTTTGAATATTTTACCAGCCTCTTTTCAAACTGCACCCCAGCCTTCCTTTGGAACCTCAAATCCTATCATTCTTTACCCTTTCTGCCCAAAACACACTGTGATCTAGACATACTTAAGTCAGTATTATCCTTATTCCTCAAAATATGCCATTATGTTTGCTGCCTCTAAACCTTCCCTCTTGGAATAGCCTTCTCCACTTGTCTGCCTGACAGGATCCTTAATTCTGAGAACTACTTGGCAAACTCGAAGGAAATGGGGTTCTCAGAATTAAGGCCAAAGTAGCAGTTTCCTTCTTTCAGTCCACTACACTTTGAGAGTAGTCAAGAATGAGTCTTTGCTTTTAGCAGAATGATACTTCCAGCTGATACATAGATTAATTCATGCATTCAACCAGTATTGAACACCTGCGATGTGTCAGGCATTGTTTAGGCTCTATGGGTGTGGTAGTACACAAAGCAAACTCATGGGGTGTACATTATAGTGGATATAGACAATTGAAGTTTTCTTATAAGTACTCTATTTTATAGCTTGTTAGTTTCATAATCTCTGTCAAGGCAGTCTTACGTATATCTACCATATGGCTAGGAGATAATTGTTTATGCCTACATTGACTTCACTTCTGTGTATCTATTTTTCGTTCATAATTCTCTCCACTTTCCTTTCACCCACAAATTTGTGGATTTCTGTACAGAAAGGTATCTTCTTAACATCTAGCATCACTTCTTGTTTTAAAATTTTTATTTATTTATTTTTTGGCTGTACCGCGTCACATGCAGGATCTTAGTTCCCTAAGCAGGGATTGAACCTGTGCCCCCTGCAATGGAGGCGCAGATTCTTAACCACTGGACTTCCAGGGAAGTCCCTTTTTTTTCTTTCTCTTACTGGTCTACTTTCAACATGGTTTCTCTTTCCATTTATTTATTTCACCCATAAATCCAAAATTTCAGTAATACCTGTAAGTTTGCATTTGCCTACTTCTATTAAAATTTCAGATTCACTTTATTATAACAGTATTTGTGCATCAGTCTGGAGATGCTGGAGACCATAATTAT